TTGCAGCTGGGAATTGCATTTTCTGTCTACGTTAGGGGCATTTCGCGGACTCTTTGGGAAAATACGTTACATCCTCAAGCCCCTTTTCAGGGGTTTTACAAAGCTTCACGAGCCTGTGCTCTTCTCTGAGTTTGTTGCCAGCTCTGCATAGGCAGGAAGCAGGGTGTCCCAGCTCCTGGTCTAGAGAATTTAATTTACCAGAAGTTAATGATGTGTGGGCTGGAGAAAGCCTGCTTTTACCAGCGTGGATGTTTGGAAAACTCACCAATCTCCTCTCTATTCCTTCTGTGGAAAAGAATCCTAACTGCCTCTTCCTGCTTTTGGAAGTGAGCCCACCCACCTGGAATATTCTTCTATCCAGACCTGTGGCTGTAGAGGAGCAGTAGACTGACTGTGGTCAGACCTCTGAGACAGACAGGCAGATGCACTTGATCCTTTGAAAGGGACCAGGAACTCGCTTTATGTGTGTGTGTGTGTGTGTGTGTGTGTGTGTGTGTGTGTGTGTAGTGGTGGGTGTAGGGTCATTTAAATGCACCAGGGGGCCCAGACCACGTCAAGTTTTTGAAACCTGTGGCATATTAAGAAATTAAACTTGACTTTTAGCACCCAGATTGTGGTCTCTGACTAGTTTCCCACTAAAAGGAATAAGAGCTCTTTGCAGAAATGACTGAACCCAGTTCTGGGATAGGAACTCCACAGGATGAGCTGGGGACATCTTGTCTTAACCAAAGGAAGGAATTTATCAAAACTACCAAGACTGGACTTATTGTGGTGACCATTTCACAATATTTACAAGTATCGAATCATGATGTTTGTACACCTGAAACTAATATAATGTTACATGTTGATTACTTCTCAATTGAAAAAAGTAAACACTAAGGTCATGTCCAAAAGACCCAGGAGAAAACTTGAAAAAGTTCCTTCTAGCCAAATACCAGACCATTTGAACATCTATAAGAATAAGTATATTCAAATTTATGAGTCCAGGGCTTCCCTGGTGGTGCAGTGGTTGAGAGTCCGCCTGCCGATGCAGGTGCCCCGGTCCGGGAAGATCCCACGTGCCGCGGAGCGGCTGGGCCCGTGAGCCATGGCCGCTGAGCCTGCGCGGAAAAAAAAAAAAAATTATGAGTCCATAGTGATAATTAAAAAAACCCTTCATTCGTTACCATTGGAGGAGGTTAGGGACTAACTCACAGGGAAAGAATTAACCATCTGTCTTGTACCTCTGGTTAATCAAATAGCTGATGAGGGGAATTTTCTCTTTGTAGAAATATTCCAAAAGTGATATCAGAATTAGAATATCATCATTTTGCAAATCCTTAGTGAACTAATGTACCCAGGCACTGGTCACCCATAGCGGGTCACGCCACAAGAGAGTCTGCCAGACTGCCTTCTGGTGGAAGAACTTATGAAGTAGTTTCGTCACCTAAGTGAACTTGAATCTCCTCAAAATCTCAACAATAAATCTAAGAGCATGTTCATGGGAAACTCAGAGGACAGAGCGACATGTCAAACCACGTCACGGGCGTGCAGTAAGTGAAATCGTGTTGTGTGGATCAGTAGTCGATTTCTTTACATTGCTGAGTGGTACGTACCCCACTGTATGGAGGTCCTTCTCTTTGTCTGTTCGCTCTCCCGTTGAAGGGCACCTGGGTTGTTTCCGGTCTCTCTGCACTATGACTAATGTTGTTATAAGCGTTCATGTACAGGTTCTGGTATAAATGTTTTCATTTCTTTTGGGTAAGTAACTAGGAGTGGGATTGCTGGACCAAATCATATAAGTATATATTTAATTTTTAAGAAACTGTCAATGTCACCATGGGCTTGCAATAAAATAGGACTTTCCTTAGGATGGCTGTTAGGATTAAATGAATTATTACATGCCAAGGGCTTAAGACAGTGCCTGGCGCTCAGTAAATGTTCACTCTCGTCATTACCCTTATTGTCAGCGTTATTTGGCCTGAGCACACCCCTTTTTCCCTGAAATTTGAGCAACGGCACAGAAATCGGCAGTATCCAGGGACCACTGGGCTGCTAGTGGTGGTGCCTGGGACAATGCTGTGTTTCTGCCAATGGTCAGGATGGAGCTGGGCTCTGGGACCGGCCCCTGCCAGCAGTGATGCCTTGTGGCTGCAGCAGGACCACTCAGCCACCATGGCCATCTGTGATTTCCCCAGGTTTTGTTTCTAACGAAGGGAAAATAAGGGAGGAAACGGTAATTTCACGGCTACCCAATGGACACTAGGAGCCACGGCATTTGAATCTTGAAAGAGGTGCGACCTTGATTTGTAGCCCACCTATTACACTGCATATTAATTATATTCCATCCTGTGTATTTTAAATACATTTTAAAAGATAGACTTTATTTCTTAGAACAGTCTTAGGTTTATAGAAAAATTGGGAAGATAGTACGTCAAGTTCCCATATACCCTGCACCTAATTTTCCCTATTTTGAACATCTTACATTAGGCTGGTACAGTTGTTACAATTAATGAACCAATACTGACACATTCTTATTAACTAAAGCCTGTACTTTATCAGATTTTGTTAGTTTTTACCTGCTGTCCCTTTTCTGTTTCAAGATACCACATTACATTTATTTATTATTTTTTTAAAAATTGAAGTATAGTTGATTTACAACATTGTGTTAGTTTCAGGTGTACAGCAAAGTGATTCGGTTAAACATTATGTATATATATTTTTTATATAGTGTGTATATGTTGATACATTACAGTTACATTACATTTATTTGTCATGTTTCCTTAGGCTTCCCTTGGCTATGACAGTCTCAGACGTTCTTTGCTTTTGACAATCTTGACAGTTTTGAGGAGTACTGGCCACGAATCTTACAGAACATCCCTCTGTTGGGATTTGTCTGATAGTTTTTCTCATGGCTAGACTGGGGTCGTGGGTTTCGGAGGAAGACCACATCAGTAAAGCACCATCCTCATTCCATCATGTCAAGGGCACACACTGTCAACATAATGATCGCTATTGTGCTCACTTTGGTCACCTGGCCAAAGTGAAACACCTGAAGCCGTGTTTGTCAGCGTCTCCCCTGTAAAGTTACCCCTCCCTTACCACGTTGTCATCTTTGGAAGGCAGCCACTGGCACAGCTCACACTTCAGGAGCGGGCAGTTATGCTTCACCCTCTTGAAAATGGAGTAGCTACATAAATCACTTGGAGTTCTTCTCCATGGGAGATTTGCCTCTTCTCTCCCAATTATATATGTATTCAATCAATTGTTTATATCAGTCTGGACTCATGTTATTTATAATTTCTGTGTATTTTTAATTTTTTAAAGCTTATGTGTTTTAAAACTATGCATTTAAGTTGTACCTTTTTGTTGCATAGTAAAGAATGTTATAATGAACATGTGTGTGTTCAAGTTTTGCTGATGTCTTTCCTTGTTTATTGAGTATATATTTCTAGACTTAGAAGCTTGGAGCAGAAGATAGGAACATTGTAATGTTTTTTGCTATGTTCTGCCAATTTGTTTTCTAGGTACATTACTCAGCTTCTACTTCTATCTGAAGACGACGACAGTGCCTGTCTCAACACATCTTGGTGAGTGTTAAGCATTAAAATGTGTTGAAAGCTTTGTTAGGATGATAGGAAAGAAGTATCACCCTTTCCAGCAAATTAAAAATTTTTTAAAATACTTCCTAAGATGGTAGGGAAGAAAAGTGTCTATATTTTAATTTGTGTTTCATTGCCAGTGAGGGCACACATCTTTGCTGCTTTTTGATGGGGGAACAAGCACAGGTGGAGTGGTCCTCTGGCCTCAGGCTCACTGCTGAGCTATGGTTTGGCTATCACAGAGCATCTCTTTTATGCAAGAGCCGTAGGGTCTCCCAAATATAAAAGAACATGAAGAAAAAGGGTGGGCTACATACCCTTTTTGCCATGATGCTCAGAAACAGTAGTTGCGGCCCTTCTCTGGTCACCCCATAGTGTGATGGAATATTCTGGAATGCCTCTAGGTGGGAATGTTGCAGGAGGTGGCTTTTATGATTGGCCTGAGTCAGAAGCTGCCTCCCTCCATGCCTCCATTCACTCAACACTTCTGCGCTGTGCTGTATCTACACAGTGACTTGTGCACCCCTATGCCAGTGTGAATACTGCATCTTCCCACCCAGGAGACCCTGAAGTCTAGCAAAGCCTAGCTATTCAGCACTTTGAATAACAAGTCTGGTTAATCAGTACTGTTGGTGCTCTAGTGGGAAGAAGTACAAAGCCTGAGTACCTTTCTGCAGGTGGGGATGGCTTCACAGGGGAAGTGACAAAATAGAGCTAGATCTTAATAATAAATAGGAGCCTGTCAGTTGGAGAAAAGAGAGGAGAGCGTTTGACACCAAGCTGTGGGGAAGCAATGGGTGATTTGCAACGGGAGCACCAAGGATGAATTTTGGTAGCCATGTGACCGAGGTCTAATAGGGCTGAGCAGAAGTGATGTGCACGACTCCAAGCCCGGAGTTTGGGCTTCAGCCTCCTCTGTAGGCTCTGCTCTGCTCTAGTCCCCTTCCAGATGGGGACACCGCCCACGTGGTTATGGAAGCCATGCTTGACGACGGCAGAGACTATCACCCTGGCGACCATAACAATTTTGTGAGAGGGCTGCCCCGCCAGTATTTTGCCCCTGATATTTATAAGTGAGCAAGAAATAGCTTCTGTTGTCTTTGACATTATGTATCAAATACACTAGCTTACTGTGTACTTACTAAATACAAATAAGCCAGCTTACAGTAAGCAATAAACCGCAGGCAGGGAGGGAAAAATAGTGAAGGGCTTTGAATGCCACACCAAGGAGTTTGGGTTTATTGCTGCAGGAACAGGATGACTTTTTTGTTTGTTTGTTTGTTTGTTTTTGTGGTACGCGGGCCTCTCACTGCTGTGGCCTCTCCCATTGCGGAGCACAGGCTCCGGACGCGCAGGCTCAACGGCCATGGCTCACGGGCCCAGCCGCTCCGCGGCACGTGGGATCTTCGCGGACCAGGGCACGAACCCGCATCCCCTGCCTCGGCAGGCGGACTCTCAACCACTGCGCCACCAGGGAAGCCCAACAGGATGATTTTTAAACACAGAGTGACATGCTGAGCGCGTGTGTGGAATGAGTGGGACACACCTTCCAATCCATGGACAACACCCTGGTCTCTGAGATCTTTGCTCGTTATGAATTCCTTCAGCAGCCTCCACTAGACTGAACTTTTGGAAGTGCCAGGTATGAATTCCACTGGCATCTTGAGAGTCTGCAGGATCCTCAGAAATAAGTTAGAAGGTATTTGAAGAGGGTTGTTTAACAATCACAAATTCCTCCTCTTCCTCTGTGTATGCCCTGTGCAATATGCAATGTGGCTATCTATCAAGAGATAGGGTACGTTAGCTCCTCCCCTGAAACAGAGGCATGGCCATATGACTTACTTGGGCTCAAGGGACATTAGCACACGCGACACAAGTTGGCTCAAAATGCACTTGCGTATTGGAGCTCGGTCACGCTTGCTCCCTGAGACCTCTAGGTAAAGAAGTCTGGGCTGGTCTCCTTAAGAATGATACAGAACATATGGAGAAGGGCAGACAGACATGTGAAGCCATCTTACAGGAATCATCCCAAGCAATCCATCAGATGATTGGGAACCTCATGAGTGACCCCAGGTAAGACCAGCAGAAGACCTGCCCAGCTGAGCCCAGCCCAAGTTGCCAACCAGAGAATCATGAACAATAACCCACTAAGTTCTGGGTATTTTGTTACACAGCAATAGATAACTGATACAATGAATGGGATATCTCACTGTCGAGAAGATCCCAGTTGATGCCAGTACAGAAGAAATAAGCCATAGAATCACCACCCCTACCCCCATTCACTCAGAACTCTCAGAGATGCAACAGAGCAGCTGCTACTATTCTGTTTGAACATATGGATTTATTTTTCTATAAAACAGAAAGAAAATAATTTCCTTTAGTCACTCCCGTTTTGTTTCTGATATTTCTTGTGCTTCTATTTTTTCCCTTCTCTTCTTTCTAGTTTCTCTTGTAAGAATAGTCTAGTTGTTAGATATTTTAACTCTGCGCTCATTCCTCTCTCTACTTGGGGTAACACCAGAATGTTGAAATTTCCTTTGCTTTTATGGACGCTCATGCTTCTTTCACATGTAGCTTCATTACTTCCTCTTTTCAATTTCTTAAAGATAGCCCTTAATTAAGAAAGAAGAACCTTCTTTATATTTCTTAATGTTTTCCTTGACCTTCTCTCCCAAATTAAATATGTAATCTTTATATTACAATTACCTGAAATTATCAATATTATTTACATAAATCTCTGTGTAGAACCCTGTCTTCTGTATGACAGGAATTGGCAATACGAAAAAAAAAATTCAGAATCACATGATAGGGAAAGTTGTTAGCTATAAAACACTTGCTCATCAACGATTCTTTAAATTTCACCATTAGAATGCATCTCTCATTAAAGATTCATCTTTTCTATCTGAAAAGTCTTATCTTTCAGCCAAAACTTTAACCTCATTGTGGCTTCTTCTCTGACATTCGTGCATTCAGTCACTAAATATTCACTGAGTTTTCTGAATACTCGGCTGGGGCATGGAGATATAAAGATGAATACAAAACTCTGCCTTCAAGAGAGAAAGCAGAGTGATAGAAAAATAATATTACTTCAACGTGCTAAGTGTCATAATAGACACGCACAGGGCATTCCAGGAGTCAGAGATCTGTGTGTGTGTTTGGGGGTAGCTGTGAATAAGGAAAGGTCTGAAGAAGGAGATACTGGATTAGGCTGTAAGTTACAAGTAGGGGTTAGTCGTGAGATGTGTATGAGACGTGGGGGAAGCATGCAATGTGAGGTAGGGCAGGATGAGAAGGCGGGTGGACAGAGCCTGTCCAGGGGTCAGAGGCTGTAGAGAACCAGGTTGAGGAGTAGACTTCATCTTGTAAAGCAGAGTGAGCCGTGGAGGATTTCCAGTAAGGGAGTAATGCCGAAGACGTGATGGTGGGTTTGAAAGGGTGAGACCATCGGAGCCTGTTATCCTTGCATACTGGATAGAGAATGAAGACCTGAAGTAAGATGGTGCCAGCTTTGTGGCTGTTACGAGGCCAAGACTTTATTAACCTTTGTTTCAAACTTTATTCCCAGGCTTCTTCAGCTTAATTAGCTGCAAAGAATGAATTGTATAAGTAAAAACTGAAAAGAGCTGCAGTATCGAAGGGGCAGGAATGGAAAGAAGAGATAAATGAAGAAATGTTTAGAAAGCTGAGCTGGCAGAACTTAAATTTGATTGGCTGTGTGAAGTAAGGGAGAAAGAGTCAGGGTGACTTCTGGGGGTCTCGTTTGGTGAGGCGTGAGAGCCCTGACGTGGGGACACAGGAGGAGACACACCAGCGGTGGAAGGGACCTTTTCAGCCTCTGCAGAACGCTCTCAGCGCTAATATGGCAGAGCCATTAGTCATTGGCTCAGTTTGCTGGACACATGACTGGTCAAGTTCATCCAACTGGAACTTGCCTTCCTTGCCTTCTTAATTCATTGCACCAGGTGAGGATTTTGGCTGGAGTATGAGGAAGAGAATCAAGCCTTGGTCAGAAATGTGACACCATCAATCGCAAACTTGTTGATTTCGATAGATATACAGCCCAGAGGAAATTTCCCAGAAGCTGTTATCACAGCGTGCGGAGACTAAGCCTCACTTCGTGATCGGACTGGCTGCTCTCCCTACTCGAGAGGTGAAGATATTTCTCCTGCTTCCATGTGACCGTGGTCATTGACACGATGGAATAAGCAGTTGGCTTAATGATGTCACTTAATGGGCTGTGGATTTTTTAATGCAGGCAGTTCTTCGTGTAAATACTAGTCAGGAAAGAGGTTTTCCTTTCTTTTCTTTCTTTTCTTTCTTTTTTTTTTAATCTTCAAGAGAAGCTGTTTTAATTAAACAAAGGGCAGGAAGTTCCTTCCTGAATGGTTAAAGCCCTCTTGATTATACTAGCAATGTGCTGATTACAAACTGCTCCTTGGCCATTTCTGCTGCATTTACCAGAATCCTTGTTAAATAACATTTTCCCAAAAATGATGCGAGAAAAAGCAAACAATGGAGCATACAAGTGGTTGACAGATAGGAAAAAACACAACGAATAGAAAAGCTTTTATGCTTCTTCACTTTGAGATAAAGGAAAAAAAATATACACCTTTCTCTTTAAAATATAATTTTTAGGTAAAAAGTTGGTTTCATTGACATTATTACATATGTTAACTTCATGCTCAATGCAATCTTTTGAAAGAGGTAAGATTTTTAAATAGATGTTCCTATTATAGAACATTCAGACGATACAGATAAGCAAAAAGAGGAAAACACACATCTCTCACAATTTCTCCACTCTGAGATAATCCACGTTAAAGCAGTTTTTCAGTTTTCTCTCCTTACATCCAGGGTGAAGGGAAAAGCATTCACCAGTTTGTTGTGGGGAGAGCATGGTCCCTGTCTGAAAGGAACATGCTGATGGTTTGATTGGTGGAGGCCGCAAACGATAAGCTCAAAAAAAAAAAAAAAATCCAGTCTGCTGGGGCCTCCTAAACAGAGAGGTGCTGGGGGCTTGGGAATCATTTCGTGCTTCAAGCTGTAATGAATGGGGTCTGCAGTTCCAGGATCGGAGTTGGGGGTCAAGCTGAATCTTTCTATGTAAGAGAAATGAAAGGATTTTGAGGTCTGTTTTGGGAAGGAGCAAAATGCCAAACTAGGAGAAGGAAAATGGGATCAAGAGAGGTGGCCATGGCAGGAGGGATGGGGAGATAAGAAAAACTCTTGAAGCTGCACGGTCTGGGAAGGACCTCTGGTTTAATGTGAGATACACGATGCATCCTGCATCTTCTGGGATTCTTCCAAAAAATGTCAAGAAATTCTTCACCAGTCGCTAATGCTTTTGAGGGAGCAGATTCTTTTCCTTTACACATAGGGTCCTTGCTACCTGGATATTGATTATCGGAGTCCCCCCAGTTGCCAGTTTTTTTCTTTTCCATTGTGGTTTATTACAGGATATTGACTATAGTTCCCTGTGCTCTACAGTAGGACCTTGTTGTTTATCCATCCTATATATGAGTTTGCATCTGCTAATCCCACACTCCCAATCCATCCCTCCACCTTGGCAACCACAAGTCTGTTCTCTATGTCTGTGAGTCTATTTCATAGAGAAGTTCTTTTGTGTCATATTTCAGGTTCCACATATAAGTGATATCATATGTATTTGTCTTTGTCTGGCTTTACTTTACTTGGTATGATAATCTCTAGGTTCATCCATGTTGCTGCAAATGACATTATTTCATTCTTTTTTATGGCTGAGTAGTATTCCATTGTATATATATATCATATCTATATCTATATATATATCACATCTTTCTCTGTTCATCTGTTGATGGACACTAAGGTTGTTTCCATGTCTTGGCTATTGTGAATAGTGCTTCTGTGACCATAGGGGTGCATGTATCTTTTATTATTATTATTATTTTTTTTGCGGTTCGCGGGCCTCTCACTGTTGTGGCCTCTCCCGTTGCGGAGCACAGGCTCCGGACACGCAGGCTCAGCGGCCATGGCTCACAGGCCCAGCTGCTCCACGGCATGTGGGATCTTCCCGGACCGGGGCACGAACCCGTGTCCCCTACCTCGGCAGGCGGACTCTCAACCACTGCGCCACCAGGGAAGCCCGCATGGATCTTTTTGAATTAGAGTTTTGTCTGGATATGTGCCCAGGAGCGGGTTTGCTGGGTCATGTGGCACCAGCTACCACTTTGCTGGAGGAAGTCCAGGCTAACTAGCGTGACAACATTCCCTAATGCTCTGGCCACACATAAAGTCAGTCAATGCTAAATAATCTCTCCCCATTTTTTACTCCAAGATTATATTTTGTATTATGTTTTAAGTAGGATTTTTCTCTCTATCTAAAATGAAGAAGCAGAACTGGTCTCCACCCATTGTTTTCTTGGTCACTCTCTCCACGTTGTCTGCTGTGGTCAGCTTCTGGAGAGCATAGCTCCAACAGAATGCACATTACTGCAAAGTGGATTTCAAATCTTGCAAAACAGTTGGGATTTCATGAGAGTGTTGAAAGTGATATTGAGAGAACTGCTCAAAACATCTGTAAAGTCACTGACAAATGAGGACCTGGCCGAATTAGAGCGGCCAGCGATAGAGAGAAGCTCAGCAAGGATGACCTCAGATGTCGTTCCAGAGTGTGATCTTACTACCAAAGGATTAGGGGCGGTCCCTGCGAAAAGGGATGAAGCACTTGAATTGGGCAAAAGCAATTTTGGATTTTGGATTTCGGGCTTTATGGATTCATTGTGAAACTCAACAGTGCGGCAAAGCCCATCATAGATCTACTGAGCATTCCCTTTGTTCATTCTGAGAATTGGTGCATGGATACAGTTTTTTTTTTTTTTTAACATCTTTATTGGAGTATAATTGCTTTACAATGGTGTGTTAGTTTCTGCTTTATAACAAAGTGAATCAGTTATACATATACATATGTTCCCATATCTCTTCCCTCTTGCATCTCCCTCCCTCCCACCCTCCCTATCCCACCCCTCCAGGCAGTCACAAAGCACCGAGCTGATCTCCCTGTGCTATGCAGCTGCTTCCCACTAGCTATCTATTTTACGTTTGGTAGTGTATATATGTCCATGCCACTCTCTCACTTTGTCCCAGCTTACCCTTCCCCCTCCCCACATCCTCAAGTCCATTCTCTAGTAAGTCTGTGTCTTTATTCCCGTCTTGCCCCTAGGTTCTTCATGACCATTCTTTTCCCCTTAGATTCCATATATATGTGTTAGCATACGGTATTTGTTTTTCTCTTTCTGACTTACTTCACTCTGTATGACAGACTCTAGGTCCATCCACCTCACTACAAATAACTCAATTTCGTTTCTTTTTATGGCTGAGTAATATTCCATTGTATATATGTGCCACATCTTCTTTAATGGATACAGTTTTAACCTACGTCGTGTTAAGTGTCAGATAAACTTGTTTTTTCCCTTGTTAGTTTGGTTTTTCCAGATAAAATTTGAATCAAACTTCATTTTCGGACTCTGTAGTATAAAATTTTTAGCTCGTTATAGAAAATCCAGAACGAGCAAATATAGAGATAATTGTGTAGTAAACTGCCTTGTATGCATTATCCAGCTTGAACAGTTATTAACTAATGGCCAATTTTAAAAAGTTTTTCTTCAAATAAGAACATAATGTATAGGTATAGAGTGCATAAATCATAATTGTACAGCTTGTAAATTTCCACCAATTAAAAATTCTATTTAATAACCATACAAATCAAGAGATGCAATGTCACCAGCACCCTGCTGAGGTTCTGACAAGCCGAGTGGTCCAGGCAGGTCGCTGGCCTCTCCAAGCTTCATCTTCTTCATCCGTAAAAAGGGGTCTGAGTTCATACCATCACGACGTTTCTGAGATAAGTGGGTTAAGTGAGATAAAAGCACACTGTCCACGCTCAGTAAATCCTGGTCTTGTTTAAAATGACATCTTTCTTCTACAAACCTTTCCCCATCACGTTCTCTGGCAGGGGGTGCTCTCCTTCCAGGGAAGGCACGTGAAGCCCACCTTTGAGATTCAAATCTACAGATTGACAGGGAATCTGGAAACCTCCATTCAGAGCCCTCCAGCTGCACTAGTTTGCAAGCTAGTTTTGATGGGGGGGGCAGGGACCTCGGGGTGCAGGGGCTTGAAGCAGGATCTCAGTTCCCTGCCCAGGAATCGAACTCAGGCTGCGGCAGTGAGAGTGCTGAATCCTAACCTCTAGACCATGAGGGCCAGCGGGCCTGATGTAAGTCCCCGGTCCTTGTCTTCTTTGGAGAAAAAAAATCAGCTCCCTTTGCTTATTTACAAAAATTCAGATCCCTTTACTTACTTACAAAACAGAAACAGACTCACAGACTTAGAGAACGTACTCATGGTTACCAGGGGGGAAGTGCAAGGGGAAGGGATAGATTGGGAGTTTGGGATTGACATGTACACACAGCTATATTTAAAATGGATAACCAACTAGGACCTACTGTATAAAACAGGGAACTCAGCTCAATAATATATAACAACCTAAATGGGAGAAAATTCGGAAAAGAATACACACATGCCTCAGGGTGCACTCAGGGTGACTCCCCGCAGAGCTGCGTACCCAGGGCTCTGGGCTGTCTGCTGTCTGTGTCGGTCGGAGACGGGCGGGACCCCCAGGCCCGCATCCCATCCCGGAGCAGCATCCCCACCGTGATGAGGTCAGGGCCGGAATATCTGCATTTCCCCTTCCTGCCAGGAGGTGGCGGTGTGCTTACTCAGCCAGAGCCCGCTGTGCTGAGGTTTCCCTGATGCAGCAGCCTCTCGGTACCAAGCGTCCTGGCCCAGGACTGCCCCACTTTGCTAGGGAGAGAGAATGACCTGTCAAAAGACCAAATGAAAAGGCTCTCTCTCCTTTTTATCCTACTTAAGTCAGAAAAGTCGGCAATAACGCGTAAACATGGATTATGATGCCTGGTTAAGTATATATTGAAATTACCTGCAAGAAATTCTTGGAGGGTACTTTCATTTATCTTGGGTTGTTTCCTCATTGTAATTGTTTAAATATCTCCCCTCCCCCAAATTCCCAAACACCTCTATGCCAGTTGTTTACTGAGCTAAATGAAATAGACTTTTTTTTTTTTTTTTTTTGGGTTTCGGGGCCCTTCCCGTTTTTTGCTCTTCCCATTGTGGAGCACAGGCTCCAGACGCGCAGGCTCAGCGGCCATGGCTCACGGGCCCAGCCGCTCCGCGGCATGTGGGATCCTCCCGGGTCAGGGCACGAACCTGTGTCCCCTGCATCGGCAGGCGGGCTCTCAACCACTGCGCCACCAGGGAAGCCCTGGAGCCATTTTTTAAATTTCATTTTTGGATTGTTCATTGCAAGTGTATAGAAATACATTTGATTTTTGTATACTGGTCTTGTATCCTGACAATTCCATATGCAGTCTTCACATTTAT